CATTAACACTGTTTTGAATCTATAATATTTAAATTATTAGTCAATCTATTCAAAATTAACAGTAGTGTTATCAAAAAGTATTATCAAAAAACAATATTAAAAAGTGTTATTAAAAAACATTATCTTTTGTAAAGTAGATGTAAAAGTTACTTAAGTAATCACTTTCATCTCATTCTCATCTCAAGAATCAGTCATCTCATTATTCTTCATCTTGATGTTAAGATTCTTTATCAGTATTTACATCACAAGTTGAACCACATGAGCAATGCAGAGAATATGACCTTGTTTATCATTTCAGAAATGCAAAGTCAATTTTTGCTTCAAGCTCTTCATCATAGTATAGTTATTCACAGTATTATCAGTTGTAATTGTAAGAAGACTGAGACTAATATCTCAATAGTCATTTTTAATCACAGTCATTAATACCTCTATTATATAATCCTCAGTATGACTACTGATCAATGATTCAAATTCAATTAATATCTCTTAATAAGTTCAGTTCTCATCAATGTAATACTATGTAACTCTTATAAATGTAAGATTGTTTATACTAGTTCATGTATTCACTGTGAGAGACACTCTTCAATGATTCTTTAACTCTGATTCTAGATATTGCATATTAACTTTATAGTGTGTCTTGAGATTAAACTGAAGACAGAATTGATATGAAATATGAAGATTTGAATTAAGTATTTAAAGAAGTGTTCAGAATTCAGAGTTTTCAATTGATTGAAGAGAAAGATTCAGAGATATACACATGTAAAGTAATTATTCATGAAAGTTATCAGATAAGAGTTGTGAAATCAGAGTACTGATACAGAGTCATTTTCACATAATTTTCTTCAAATTAGAAAGTTAGTGTTATCAAAAATCATTATCTGATAGAGTAACTTATCAGCTCAGTAGTAATTTTCTGATTATTTTTCTTTTATTATCTGTATTCTGATGACTTCAGATGTCAGAAAATTTCTTCAGAGTTATAATCAGTTCATGATGAATATTTCTGAATGAAGTTACAGTAATTGCAGTAAAGAGATGACTCTTCAGTAATCTATAATACAATCTGTTAATAATTATTTCATAGTTCATCTTGATATTTGTGTTAAGTTTTTCATAAATTTTGTGACCTGAAATCAGATGTGAAGAATGAAGTGATCATTTATCATGATTGAAAGAGAGCATTCTGTGTTGAATTGTAAATAATATAGACTTTGTAATTCACAGTGATTTCTTAAAGAGTTTATAAATCTTCAATAGAAATAAAAGAAGTGAATGAAGTGAATTCAGAAGACATGATAATAATTTAAGAAAGATGATAATTTATTTTCAATAACTGATCACTGATATGTGTAAGAAGAATTAATATAAGAGAAAATAATCTTGTTTCTTAACTTAGTTATAATTTTAGTACTAACTCAGATTGAATATCATTGATATATAAAAGTAAATAAATAATCTTGATTAATCTCTGTCATATTTCTTGAAATATATTAATATTGTGAAAGAGAGTGTTACTAAATTGTATTATCAGATAATATCATTAAAAATATATTAATATTATGAATATCAATGTTGAAAAAATGTTGATACTTATACATTATAGTGATTTATAAATCATGATAGTTAAATATATATATATATATATATTATTTCTGACTTGATTATAACTTGTATAAGACTCTTCACTGTCTTCTTTTTCAATCTCTCACAGGCAGTGCTATCTGTATTATTTCTATACTTAGTTCAGTCTAAATCTATCAGAAGTGTTACTTAAAATCATTATTATTCTACTTTCTTATGAAGTCTCTTCAAGGCATTATAACATATCTTACAATCTGTCTTCTCATACTTGAATATCTTCTTCTTCTCTCTCTTCAATCTGTGACAGTGCTCATGCACCTTAGTGATTCACAGAACTGCAGAATATTTGAAGAGAAATGACATGATTGATTTTAATAAGCATTGAAAAGAGAGTGAAGACAGGCAATGATATAATAATAATAATAATAATAATAATAATAATGATGATGATAATAGTGATAGTGATGATAATGATAATGATGATAATAATAATGATGATGATGATGATAGTGATGATAATAATAATGAAAGAGAAAGTGCATCAGAATATATTATTAACTTATTAAATATAAAGAGATAAAGAAACTATTAACAGCTTTCAGAGATGTACAGAAACAGCTACAGTGTTACATAGCAACATTATCTTCATTTAATACATACACTATTGATATTCTTTATATGTATTTATTATATAATCTATATCAGAGATACATACAGAAAACAGATCTTTGTTACTAGAAAGAATAATTGCAGCAATTCTCTGTTTTTATATTATAAAGATAAGTTATTCTCATTTCTTTCTTCTCTCTTTTCTCTTCTTCTTCAATTCATCACTAAGTTCAAGCTGGTATGAAAACTATTAAAACACTCATAAAAACTCTCAAATTAAAGAGTATAAACTAATCAAATTTTAAATACAGATGAATCAAATTAATTCAATAATACTAATTATTTATTTTCTTCTCAATAAAACAACAGTCACATCTTTTCCCTTGTCTCTCAAATGAAATATGGCTCATAAAAAGTGAGTATCACACCAGGTTATAATGACTAACACAGCTTCAGTATGCAGGGCTGTATACACACAGTGCATGCTGAACTAAGAGACTGCATGAGTTGTAAACTGATGACAGCATCTCAGAGAGAGCTGTGTGATGTGAGAAAGCTGCAACTCTCAGTCACATATACAGAGAGTGAATTATCACAGTAAGTGCATATGCATTGCATGAAAGTAACACTTTTTAATAATACTCAGTCTCTGATATTATGAAAATAGAGTCTCTCTGTGAGATCTGTTTTTATCAGAAGTTGAGAAATCTTATATTTCTCAAGATCATCTTCACACACCTTGTTCATGAAATCAATGAGAGAAATCATCAATTTCAGTGTTCTGTTCTTAATATTATTCAAATGGCAGCAGAGTTCATCCTGACCACACTTTTTAAGTGTATATTTTCTAATTATTCACATTTATACTGATATATACTGATTATTTATTAGATGATATTAAGATAATGACTTATCACAGCTGTATTACTCTCACTATGAGAAATACATAGTTGATAATAAACATTGTAAAGACTCTGAGAAGTAAGTATTTTAAGAATACTATAACTCTGTAATCTTGATTTTTTTTTATTTTTATTTTTTATTTTTTTCTTTTTCTTTTATTTTTTTTTTAATGTGATTTTTTCTTGTGTTGATTTTATTTTTTGTTTTTTATTTTTTTTTATATTTTATGTTTTTTTAATAATTAAAATTATATAAATTATAATCTGTGTTTAGAAAAGTAATGATATTTAATAACACTCTCTGTTGAATTTTCAACAAATGAGCACTATATTATAATATTATGTAAGTGAGAAGTGATTTCATAATCTTATTTAATATCATTCTCAATAATGAAATCAGAATGAAAATATAACTAAGAATTCAAATATATTCTTTATCTGAGACTAGATTTTTATTTGAAAAGTGAATCTGAGATCTTTAATATTTGAAATAACATGATTTGAAATCAATGTGATGAACACAAATCATGACCAGAAGTAATGCTTTTAGGCAACATGATAACTGTAAAGTTTGATCCTGGTCTCAGACACAGTCACACGGTCAGTCTAAGAGTCACTTAAAAATACTGATCAGATATACTGTGATCACTCAGATTACTGCAATCATATTTCATACTTCAAGAGATGCAGTGAGTGAAGGTATACAGTCTCTTTTTTAAATATGATTCTCATTTCTTGAACTATGTGTTAAGTATCTGAACAGTAAATGCATGGATAAACATGACTGCTTATACAGATGCACGATTCCAGGTTGCAATCAACTGTTTACTCAGAAAGATAGCATGTGCTATCATGTATAAGAGATTCATCAAAAAGAGAAGAAGTGAATGTGTTCTTATTCAGACTGTAATTGAAGCTCAGGAAAAGAATTTATCAGAGAGGCAGATCTCAAAACTTATATTTACAACATTTATACAAAAGAAGATCACTTTCTCCGCAATAAAATTACTCAGCTTCAGCTGAAAGTTATGCAAAAGAATTCAAGCCTGAATACGACAGAAATGAAGTTGATTGAAAAAGAGACTTGCTTCACACTTTCTTCTTCTGTTCAGCTCTCTTTCTGTGCGGAGCTTGAAGTGAGTGTTTCTGCAAATGAATTTCAAAAAACTGAACTGCGCATGTTTAAGAAGGACAGTGGCAAATTGTTGAGAATGAATGTCTGATCACTTTTAAATCCTTCAGATGAGAGAGAGAGGAAAGTAATTACTGCCAAGTTAAGAAAGATATCTCAGCCTTCATCAATAACTCAGAGCCAGGTCAATTTTCCACACAGAGTAAGATTTCTTCAGCTTATGAGTCATACTTCTGGCTGATTTAATACGCGCAGCAGCAAAAGAAATATTCATGTCCATACACTGCAGTATATTCATGCAAGTCAACATTCATCACCCGCAGTCACGCCTCACGCCACAGAAAGAAACACACTGAAAAAAGATATGAATGCCTGATGTGCAATGAGTCATTTTCATAAAGAGACAATATGAAGATACATCTAAAAAAATGTCTGCCTAAGAAATCTGATGCAATCAAGATTGTAAATTATCTACATTTTCAATAGCCGACTTGTTGGACAATGCATGTTAACAATTGTGAAGTGAAACTAAAACTTCAATACCAAGTATGCATGAACACTGAGCTCTCAGCTGATGTAGTGATTCTGACACTGATTAAGATACTGAGTGATATACAAGCCTGAGCGTCATTCTTATTTGATTTTCTTTTGTACAGAACATACGTTGTTTGTTCCTGGTTGATACTTTGTTAAATCAAGCAAAATAATTGATTAAAAATGAAAACATTCTTGCTTTGCATCAAATGAATAGTTGCATCCGGAAAATTAGAAATTCCGGGTGCTGAGTGATGAATTCTGTCAGTTATAGAAAACTATCTGATTTACTATCAGATCACAAAATCGCTTTAGCCTGAACTTTGACAGTCAAATCTAAATTATGTTCATAAACTTCTAAGTGTGATATTTATCGAGTATATTCTTGACACCTTATTGCTGATCCGGGAATCTATACATGGCTAGAATCAAGAAATGAGCTTGGGTGGCTTGTATGAATCAATATCACCACCACCTTGCTGCATGTTTTAATGGAAGATAGCCCCTGACAACTTCCTCTCAATAGGTGATAAGTGTGGATGGCAGGCCTGCATTTGCACAAGACACCGGGCTAGTGGTGATCATTCAAAACAAGTGAGAGATAAACATTTAGTTTTCACTGAATCATCAGACTGAGGTGACGGAGATTGTGACATCTGATGCTTGTGTTTTCCTGATTGATGCATCTTGTCCACTCACTTATTACCTTGTTTGGATGTTGGCTGGTCATCCATGCTTGGATGCATTCATTTGCAGCTTTGACACCGGAGTCTTACGTTGACCCGGGAAATGATACACCGCTGGAATCAGGGGATGGGCTGCAGCAAGTATCAAGCCTAACATTTGGTTTTCACTTGTTTTGACAATCGCCACTAGCCCATTGCCTTGTGTAAACACAGGCTAGCTGTCCAGGGCTTGTCCTTATGTGAAGGGAAGGGCATTTGCTGTTACGCGCCTTGTTACATGCATGCGCGATTTTGGCTCCGGCGCCCGGAAACAATCAAGAGGTGGGCTGTCAAAAATGGCTACTCCGCTTGGCAGCCTGTGACTTCTGCTCATTTTTTCATCATTTCCTGGTTTTGGCTGGTTATCCGCAAGCATAAAGGGATAGAAATGACCCTGTCTCGATCTGTATTTGATATACTGGTCTTTCCTAGAAGCCTCCCTCACAAGCAACATCTTGCCATATCCTACCCTCCCGTACAATTTACTAAACCCGCTTTCAACCCCTCCTGCTTCAATGCAGTCTACCATCAGCATGGATTCATATCACCATTCTTTCGCTCACCAGGCAGGAAACGGCGTCGACGCTTTCATTCATCCACCCGCATATGTTCCGAGCAGTTTCATAAACCGAGACCCAAGATATGACCTGCTACATGTCGAGAGTTCTTCTATTAATGGGGTAAATGCGAATAACCGCTCTTTCCTCATGCACCGTGCAAATTTTGCTACTTAGAAGGCAACAGTTTGTAGCTACAATAATTGTCTCTATACCAATTTTCCCTAATTCCTGTGTGAATATGATGGATGAAAAGCTCTGCTCTGTTTTACTTCATTGCTTTATTTCAGTTTCAATTGTGTTTGAGTTGCCCTTCTTACATGATTTCTTGTCTTTTATCACCTTCTCTATCTAATACAGGGCTCTGTTTGATTTTGTGTTATACATGAGTCGTTTGTTCCTGATTGATAATTTATAAGATCAAAGAAAATGATTGATTACCTTGCTTGCGCCAATAAGAAATAGTGCATCCTGGAAAATTAGAAATTCCGAATGCTGTAAAACCTCAGCTAGCTATGTCAAATTCTAAACTATACACAGCTGGAATTAAGGTCTTCCATTGCAAGTGATGGCTTGTACAAGCCCCAATAACTACCTTGCTGCATATGATCCTGAGTGGGATTTCTGGTCCGTCAAGAAAAAACGTTGCAGCTCAGCACCGCGTCCATGGGAGGCCCGCTCCCGCCTCCGAGACATCCTTGCCAGTGCAAGTTCTGTGAAACGCCAGAACAGCATTGGAGTTGGCAGAAGAGTGTGGATGTGAGTGCAATGGGAAAGAATTTACCCCCGCAGGTGATGTATAGGGCTCCAGAATTTTATCACGACAGGGAATATATGAGGCATATGAATATGTTACTTGCCGGCGTTCCTATATCAGACGAGGAGGCGGACGACGAGCTCCCACCTCCACGTGGTGTTTGTTGGGAACTCTCAGAGAAACAGTATGGCTGTCTCTGAGTGCCAGGAGGAGCTCAACAACGCGATTATCCACCACCAACGACGCATCGAAGCGGCGGAAAACAATCTCGGAACCTCAGGAAACACCAAATATACGGCCCCAGTACAGAAAGGAAGTTGTGTCCCCTTTCAACGTACGCCCCTTGAATGGAACGTGGACTTGGTCCCTCCACTTTCCTGCCCGACAATAGTTTACGGTATCCGAGATTGACGAGTACGCGATGGAGACACGGATTAGAAGGAACGGATATGCCCAGATCATCATCAATGACCGTCAACAGCATAGAACCTATTGTCAAGAACACAATATCTTCCATCAACAGCGCGTCGACGCGCCGAAATCCGACCCTCCGAACCTCAAGAAACACCAAACATACAGCCCCAGTACAGAAAGGAATTTGTGCCCCCTTTCAACGTACGCCCCTTGGGTGGAAAGTGGACTTGGTCTCTCCACTTTCTTGCCCGACAACAGTTTACGGAATCAGAGCGTCGGATCTACGCGACAGAGACACGGATTAGAAGGAACAGATACAACTGAAACAGCAACAGAATAGAATCTATCTTCAAGAACACAATACACCCTGTCAACAACATGCCAATGCGCTGAAAACAACTCCCAAGCCTCACAAAACACCAAACATACAGCCTCAGTACATGAAGGGAGTGTTGGTCCTTTCACATACACCCTACAATGGAAAATGACACGATTCTTCATAAGAAATCAGACACAAAATAGAGCCAGCTGTCCATTGCCAATGACCCACTCAATGGACGAGAGCCAACTCCTCCCCTAACCTCCCACTATCCCAAGCCCAACGATAGGTAAAAGCTTACCGATTGCTTTATTTTTATGTAGATTCAAACGGGCCCCACACCCCGGTGGGAAGTTTCGAGCGATCATTATTATGCAATTCTTGTGACTTTGATCAACCTCAAAAAGGGAAGCTGGCCTGGTGCAGGTTATGGTCCGCACCTGTGCATGACAAGCCCTATTTGTCATCAATTCGGACACCGAGTAGTCTTATTACCCGCTGTATCACCTTGATCAATGGAACTAACTCTCGGCTTCTTGGCATTTCTGCTTAGAATCTCTTCTTCCCCTTCTTCGGTGGTAGCTGCGAAGCTCCATTGCACATTCGAATACTCCACTTCGTCAGACAACGACGATGCATCAGAGTCGTCCACGGTAGGAGCTGCCTCGGAAGCCGTCTGGCTCTGAGATGTTGAATCAAGAAGTTGAGATTGAGTCTTTGAGTGCCTTTCATTTGCTGTCCTAATAAATTTGTCCCTCTTTTCCTTTGCTCAGTCCCGAGCATTTTGATATGCGCATGCTCCTTGCCGAAATGTTTCCAAGTTCCCAGTCATGTCCCAAGTATTGAGTTGGGTCATAATATACTCAGGGCGACAGCCTTGGCCTTCGGGCTCAGTGAGATGAGTTGTGTATAGCTTGAGTTGACTGTCATGATAAGTTGATGCAAGAGTGTAAGCACTGTTGTCATAAGTTGATCTGTCTTGTTGATATGACTGAAGAGAGTGTATACTCTGAGCTTCTAGTGCATTATCATAACAAGTCTGCTGTGTAGTCACAGTCAAGAATTCATCAGAATCTTTTACTTTTAAAAAGAAATTCAGTATCATTGAAAGATCATTCTGTGTTGATAGAATGATATAATTGCAGAGTTCATTGCAGATCTGATGATTGAGCTGTTCAGAATATACACTGTAGAAGTGATCTTGACTTGATCTGAGTCAGTATACTATCAATTAAGAGAGTAAGATTTCTAAGTGAGTATTTCTCTCTAATGCATTTAAGATTATTAACATTGTCTTCAATGATAGAAATCACTGATGCTATAACTGATTACTCTTTAGATATATAAGTATCTACTTATTTAAATTTTTAAAAGTGTTCATTAGAGAACTTTGATGAGAAAAGAAAGAGCTGAACTTAAGCTAGTATTTCATTGATCTTCTTTCAGTTATTTAGTATTACTGATATTTAATTATTCAGATATTCATATTTATCAGAGTAAATATCATAATTAATTAGATTCTGCTAAAAGTTATAATTATAGAGAATAATACTTATGAACTTAGTAATACTCTTCATATCTATACTTATTAATGAAGAAGAATCTGTGCATCACTTTCTACTTCAGAATCTTAAACTCATTTCTTTTTCAAGAAAGTTTTTCAGTTTAGAATACTGAGTAATATTATCAGCAATGATGTATTTACATGAATTTGTAGTTATATACATTTCTAAGATCAGTTAGATCAGATTCTTCTGATCTAAAAACTCTCTTTATCTACTTTAAATAAGCAGATGTATAATCATAGAGAAAGACTGAAGTCAACTGAAAAGAATTACAGTGCTTCTTCAGCTCAGTGTGAAATTATTGAGTAATAGATCTATAATAATTCTGAGATAATTTCAGACAGCTGTTTTTTTAATTTAACTTCTCTAGTACATCTTTAGTTAATTAAATCTTTGATAGATTATCTTAATATACTGATACTGATATATCAAGCTTCTACCTTTTCTGAAATTGTGACATGTCAGATGAATAAGCCTTAGAATACTAACACTTGTAAGACGGGTTAAAGATCACTGAAATAGGCATATAATTATAATTATAAATTTTTGACTCTGTTATCATGTGAGTTTGTATTAAGATTAGAAGAGAGTAGAGATTCTTGTAATTAACTTTGTATAGAATCTCAGAATGCACTTCAGACACTTATCTGAAGATTATTACTACTAAGAGTTAATCATTGATTGCTGAAAGTTAAGCAGTGAAACATGTTAAGTGATAGTGATCTGAGTCTTATATAGATTCACTACTACTATAACACTCACATAATATAATCTATTTTAGCACAGTAATACGTGTGAGAGTACTGATAAGCCGTGACTAAAATTAATAATACTATCTCAGAAAGTAGAAAACTTTGTTGATAATTACTACATCTACTCTAATCACGTGCTATTATTTATTTAATGTAACTCATGTAGTTAGATTATAATATAACATAATAATATTATTCTTCAAGAAACTTGATCTTGTTAAGTGCATCACTTGATCTCATTATATAATTATAATCTCAACCTTGTATAATACAGTAATAATCAGTTAGTAATTAACTTTCAATCTTTCAATTCACTTATTAATCTCATTCATTCAGCTTATTAATCAATCAAGGCATGTATAGCTGATTCATAATTAATTAAATGAATAGATAAATTCATATAGAATATAAAGAGATATTTTACAGAATTTTAAAATATATTAAGATAAAAATATTTAATAATTGATTTTAAATTAATTTTAAATTGATTCTGAATTGATTCTGAATTGATTATAGTAATAAAAATAGATTTAATCTATATATTTAAGTACTTAATAATTGATTGTAAATCAGTTGATAATCAATTCAGTATAAATTATATAAATACTTACTTTATTATTAAATTCAAGAATAATTTTAGTATTAAATTAATTTTGAATTGATTTTGAATTGATTCTGAATTAATTATTAATTAATTATAGTAATAAAATAAATTCAATCTATATATTTAAGTAATTAACAATTGATTGAAAATCAGTTGATAATTAATTCAGTGTAAATTATATAAATACTTACTTTATTATTAAATTCAAGAATAATTTTAGTATTAAATTGATTTTGAATTGATTTTAAATTGATTGTAGAATTGATTGTAGAATTGATGATAAATAATTAAGTGATTTCAAATTATAAGAAAAGATGTATTAAGTGAGATCAGATAGTGACACAGGCTACATTTACTATTGAATGTCTGAATAATTGTATTGATAGCTATCTAGTGAACAATATATGCTTAGTGCGAAGTGCTAGTTCATACTAGAAAGTCTAGAGCTCTCACACTCTCTCTCAGACTAGCTACTGTGCAGCTATTCTATTTATCTTTCTCAAATCATTCAAATCTGTAATAATAATTAATTATAAAAAGCAGCATCTAGTTTTCTCATTAGAACTAGATCTGATACATGAAATTACTGCAAAATAGTGCTTATATTCATTAAATTCATCTTATTCATTGTATTCATCTGTTATATTTATTATATTCTTATTCATCTTATGAATAACTTAATTGATTCTTCATAAGTTTATAGACATCTGAAGAAACTTCTGTAAAGAATTCATAGTCTGACTGACTCATGAGAATATTATCTTTATTCTTATTCTTCTTATTCTTTACTGTCTTCAATGCCTTGATACATTCCTTGTTATACTTCTTTCATTCAGTATTCATGAGATTCAGGTTCTTAAACCAGCAGTATTTAATGATATAATCAGTATTATCATAGTAGTAGTACTAGCATTTATCAAATCATTCAGTGACAGAGCTTGCAGTAAAAGAATGAGTGATAGTAGCAGATATATTAATAATAACTTATATAGTCAGTTAATTCATTAAATTATCAAGATTTAGATTCTGAATAGAGCTTTGTTTAATAGTATAGAATTCATTCAGCTTCATTCTAATGAATTTCTGTTATCAATCTCTCAATTCTAGAATGAATAGATTATGATAGATACACTCAGCTCAGTTTTCTCTCAGAGATATCAGCTTTGTCTTAAGATCTCAGAAATTTGTAAGATAGATATGAAAATCACTATTCTTAAGATATAAATCTCTTATCTTTTTAGTGATTAGAAGATGTTCTTCTATATAAGATATAGTATAGCATTGAGTGAGATTCTTTCATATAGTAACAGTAAGATAGACATCTTTATTCAATGATTTCAGAGAATTGTATACAGTGATGTTCAAAGATTGAAAAATCTGAGTATAAAGAAGCTTATTTTTCTGATTTCAAAACTCAATATTCAGAGACACTGTGATAGAAGATACTGTTTCTTTCTTAATAAGAATATCTTTTATCTGAATAAGATGAGTATTTATAAGAATTAAACTCTTTTATTTCAAGTAGTTGATAGATTCATTGAGAATGATTACATGCTTTTCTTTCAGCTTAGCTTTGACATTCTTTCAATACTCACTAATAGAGTTCTGAGTAGTTGACAGAGAGCTTGAGTTGCTCTCTAGCTTTTATATAAGCATTTTCATTCATTTATTCTGTTTCTTCATATAATTCATCATTATTCAAATCATGATGTTTTCATTCATTTAATCTTCAGTTTGAGATCTTATTTCATTCTCTCTCAGCATGAAAGTAGGTGTATTCTGTCTGTATTCTTCATTCATATTCATGTTACTTACAGGTGTATTCAACAATTCTGCAGTAGCTCATGTTCTTGAAGATATTTATTTACTCTCTCTTTGAATCAATCTTTTTCTGTGATCAAAGCTTTCAAAACAGTTACTTTTTATCAGGTTTCTTCTGCAGTTCAGTGATACAGCTCATGAGATGTTTTATACCTCAGATAAGAGAAAAAGTAGTGATTGTGAAAGATTTAATGAAAAAACAAGCTATCTGGGCTATAACCTGTTGGACATCTGAATGGTTGTATTGGTAGCTATCTAGTGAGCGATATATGCTTGGTGCGGGGCGCTAGTCCGTACTAGGAAGCCTAGGGCTCCCACATTTGCAAGGTCAGCTTACATAACGAGGTCAAGTGGTCAAGTTTTCTGTATACACATGCTGCCTGGAGTGGTCGGCTGTCCACTTAATATGTCATTAATAACTTATCCTCACCCCTCACACTTCGGCATTTAACGTAACTGTAGGCTACTGGGGCAAAAGAGCTCAATCACCACCAGCGCACTGCTGGTAGAAGGGCCGATCAACCGCGGGACCCCCAACAGTAACTACGGGATCTAACAGAACGATTACGTAAGTCCATCCCACTCTCGCTGATTCAACTGCAAAGCAAGCCCACTAAATAACTGGTGAGCCAAGCTAGTCTGGAATGAGACATGCCATCTCAGCGGCGGGTGAACTGTCTTCCATACAACAAAAAGTCATAACTTTTCCCAAGTATTTCCAACCAACTTCCAATAGTGCTACACTTCTACTCATATTTGTCCCGTACTATGCCTGTCTTATTTGTTTGCTCTTTGTCTTCTGTTTGCTTTTCATATTTCGTTCTGGCCTAGGAAGCACTATTGAGATTGCCTATCACATTCTAGAGCGTCTATCTTCTCTACAACTATGGTATGGTATTTTCTTTGTTCATGTTCATTTGTTTGTGTCTTGTTCATTTCACTCTGAGAGAACACTAAACAGATTTATCGCTAGTGAGGTTTCCGAGTTCAAATTGGGCGATCGTGTCATCATATGCCTTAATAATAGGATTGTATAAGCGGTTTGGGTCTTGGGGAGTGCCAACAATAAGACATTTGTCATTGCAAGGAAAGAGTATGTCTCGTAGGGAGATCAAGGACTGATAGCTCGGTGTGAAATAGTCTCCAGCAATTCTAAGAAAATCGCTCTCCTCACTTATCACTCCTTGCTTTGCAGGCGCCAGCTCTTCAGTACTCATACAATTCCATTTCTCAACATGGCGATCGGTTTTTCTGGGCGGCTGGACAGTTCTTGGTATCAAAATTGACACGGGTTTCCGACAACTTGAAACACCAAGTGTGTCGCCTTCTTCAAGGTACAGAGCCCAATCATATGTTACAGCGACGTAAAGAATTGCCTTAATCCACGAGCATGATTTGATTGGAAGTATCCCTTTATATGATTCTATATTTGTTTAATTCAGCGTAGACCAATAAGCCGAAATGTACAGCAGTTAGGTCATACGGAGACAATTTGTTGCCACTGATTGGATACAATAAATGTTCCAGGCTGCTGCCTGAAAGAAACATGTCCCCTCACTGTTTTGCCTCAACTATTATAGTTCAATCATGCCATGTCAGTTGTTGGGCGACAAAACAGCTCGTTTATGACCCATCACATCGTGGCACACAGGGGTCCCTGTTTTATTGTTCTATTTTCTTTCTTCCGTAGCTACCCATATCGAGGGCAATGTCCATATTGTTCTATATTTGATGGAGGGTCTACAGCAAATTTGATTTGCCCGGCATAGTCAAATCCTGGCTAAGCGCTATCAGCATAGTTACAGCAAATGATTGGTGTACAGGAAGGTTGAGCACTATGGCTGGGAATAAGAACTGAGCGTGATTGTATTTCCCAATGAGGAGAACACTGGGTTGTTGTGCGGCTTTTCAAGACAGTGTTAGGCTTATAAGATGCTCCGCGGCTCTCCTCAAGAGCAGGAGTATGTACCTTCTTTAGTCATCCAAAATTCAGGAGCAGCCATGGCCAACAACCAGGCTCTTTTAAACTTCCTGACCGTGGCACCTCCTGCTCTTCCTACCCAAAATACCAACAAGACACCCAATACAACAAACCCAAACTATAGTTGGGGGGATATCAACAGTGTTGGTCAGTGGCCCGGATTCACATACGCTCATATCATGCACCGCTATGGGACCTTGCTTCAGCAAGCACAAATTGCGAGCGAACCAATGCCAAACTCCCCCCCACAGCCTATAAACACAGAGCCGATGTTCGCTCTCCGTTTCAACACCTACATCCAGAGTCGATTGCGTCGCGCGCTGCGAGCTGGTTTCCAACCCCTTGCACCTCAGCTTGCAAATCTGCATCTTACTCCTATTACGGTTGATATCGGTGACGCAGCAACTATCATCGACAACTACCGACCAGACATCGCATTTTTCCAAGCTGGTAGCGCACTGAATTCCTCACCAAATCGCTGTCCGGGTGATCTAAAAGTATCATGGAAGTGGGAATCTGGGTACAGGACGTCTTTAGTGCCAGGAGATCGCAGGGAGTATTTGCAAGTCCTGTCTCAGGTAAATTATTACATGGGACAGCATTGTGCAAGGTACGGTTTTGTCTTGTCAGACACCGAGTTGGTACCGATTAAAAGGCTTGACGGGAATGGCAACCTACTGGTTGCACAGGCTATACCATGGGAAGCAGAAGGGCCTGGGCGTTTGACTATTCTGCTGGGACTTTGGTATCTTGGGATGTTAGGCGCGGCGGATAATGACTGGCGGCTTCTATAATGCGCAGGCTAAGGAGTCGTTCCTAGTAGTATTTTGTGTTTGGCGGCAGACACTTATTTTGATCTTCTTCCTATAAAACTTGTCAGTCCCTATCGAATCAGAAAAATGGAGAAATGTGTTGTCTGCGGCGACGAACAAGTAGCCGTCCGAAGCCTTCAACAACTTCAGTTTCAAACTCAATCCGGCCACGTCCCTTCTTTTCAATGTATGTGTCGTTGGGATAAACAATCGCAACATCAAAATCAACCCATATAACCCTCTCTTGATCACTAGGAACGATGAGAATATTCTTTGGGTAAGGATCATTATGCTCGACTAAAGCCAAATGAATTTGCTGAATGCCAATGACAGCTTTCTGCATACGTTCTGTTGTATAAGTAACGCAGTTCATCACCAAAGGCTTTGGCAGGTACTCGATCAGAATGGCACTTGGAAAATCTGTGTCATGTCGAAAGGCGTCTAGATAAGGAGCACAGTTGGCTGGGTCGATGGCTAGCATAAAACCATAGAAATTGGGCACAGCGCCAGAATCACATATTTTGGACCGTTTAAGCCTACAATAGGCTCTGATCTCGCAGCGAGAGCGGTCCAAATCTCGAATACGATCGCGGGCGTACCCGGGATCCCCATTATTGTGGAACTGCGTTGCATCATGATCAGGAAAATGACAACAGGTTAAGGAATGCACACATGCTAAATGAAGGTACGTACCACTTTCAAGACCCGTGGCTTGCCACAGTAGTTGACATGAAATATGGAGGACGCTTCTGAGACATTTAGGGTTTCCTCAAACTCCATCTTCGCAAAATCGATGTCGAGCTTGAAGTTGTCATCGAATCCTGCCTCGTCACGGTATATGGTGCCCTCCTTCCCGATTGACCCGAAGAAAGTGTCTGACATGGATGAAAAGAATTTATATGGATTATATGTAAACTGAGTGGTACCTGATAGCTGCTCGTATGGGCAAATATGCGAGACTTGATGTCGCTGATATTGGGCTCACTACAGAGACTTATATACCATTGGGCACGTGATTTGTTTTTTCGGCGAGATTGCCAAAAAATGGCCGAAATAGGTGTCGCTTCCATACGGGAAGAACGTAGGGTTAATTTACGGTGATTACACCATGGATCCACCATTCCACCAGTGTCACGTGTCGCTGATTGTAACACATGTTCCACCATTATATTCAGTGACACATCACTGAATATTAAATGTCAAGATTAGACTGGCCGCCGGGACCATGAATTTCACATTTGATCTCATTTGATCTGGTCTCATACATTTCTTGATGTGAATCCCGCTGGGACTGACTATCAAAAAAACATGTAAAGTGACTATATATCAGATTTTAAAATGAGATCATAACTTGAAAAAAATAAGAAAGTGATCTCATTTAATCTCATTTAATTTCATTCTTAATATAAAGTTACTATTTTTAGACATTTTAAGGTTTTTTTTAGACTATTTTTAATTTTTTAAAAAGTAACACTTTTTGATAACACTTAAATAATATTTAAAGTTATTTAAAGCAATAAAAATAATTTAAATTGAGAAGTGAAAATCATGATCTTATTTAAAAAATATGATAAGAGTAAACAGTAAGTCTTACTGAGACAGTATAAGATTACTATCTAATATTAAAACTATGTAATGAAATCAGTTGAATTAATAATAAAATCATTAAAAAATCTGGTTCTGGTTTCAGACACAGTTATATAGTCAGTCTAGTTAAGATAATGTTGAAATAGTACAGAACTTCTTGATATTATCAGAGAACAGCTCAGTCACTATATAATTGATAAATATCATTATTAAAATACTACTGAGATACTATAAGTCACAATATACTATTCTGTCAGTAAAATCAATACTTGTATACTATTCAGTTAGACTAGTTAACTACTTCATATAAATTAAATTACTATCTAAAGAAATGAGACATCTTAAGTGTAATATAAATATCTTATTATCTGAGATTTATATACTAAATAATCATTATTTTTATCAGTATTCAGTATTGAAATATTATATAATACTATCTTTTAAACTGCTGAAAGTCTGATAATAGTATAATTATCAGAATTCTCTTATAAAATTAATAGATTCAGCAGACAATTCTGTCTAATATAATATAAAGAAGTAAGTATAAAGAAAATCTACTTAATTCTCTTTATTTTATAAATAAAGATAGTTATAATTCAGTCAAGATTAACTCTCTAATATTGAAGAATATTCTTCTTTATAAGAGAGACTCAGTGAATATACTCTCTGATTTATATATTAATAAGTCAATAACTAATTAATTAATTAATTAAAGAGATATACTGAACTGAGAATATTAACTTATTATAGAAAAGAATTAAACAGTAATCTAGTTTTAAAACTGAGAGCTTATTTCAATCAGTGTCATAGAATTCTTACAGATTATTAAGAAATGAATAAAGTAATTCAAGCTTGAAGAGATTTATAAATTATATATTAACTTTCTCTAATATCTTGTTTAGTAATAGATAATTAAAAATCTTTGAAGTAATATAATCTTTTATTAATATTAACTTAATAGAGTAGTTCAGTAAATTATTATTCTTATCTTCAGCTTCTTTATTTATTCTCAGTAAATTATTGAAAAGTGCTGAATAATATATATATAAATTCTGAATCTTCTGTATCAGATGTATATCAGAGCTGTTAAAGAAATCTCTTAATATTAATTATAAGATTCACTGAAAACTCTTCTATAAGAGTAGTATCTTTTTTACATTTCAATAATTTATTTACTATACTAGATTCTTATAGTCTTAATACTTATTCTCTTCTATCAGAATATTATAATTGTTAGATATAGTATATTCTTTAATAAGCTTAATATAGTATAAGTTAATATATATATTCAGCTGACTCTTTATATATTATATAAGCTTTGCTTTTTTAATATAATCACTGTCACTGATATATATAGTAACTATACTCATAGTTAAAGCAGAGAATAATTAATAACTAATAACTGAATCAGCTTGAGATAATTTAAATATCACTGTTACTCTTACTATAGCTTTAATAAGAAACTGTAACTATTAATGAGCTGTAAGTATGATTTAACAGATTACTTCAGAATCATTTTCTCTCAGAGATTGAGATATTAATAGACTATTACTTCTTACAATGACTGTATATATCTAAATAATAAGATTAATAGATGATTGATTTTAACTTTGTACTGAAAATATTATAGAAATAATCTATTTAATCACTGAACTGAGTTATTTCTTTCTAAGCTCACACTGTAAGATAAGAGATATAATGATTAAAGCTCAAGTATATTCTTAAAGCTGATACTTCTTAAGATAAGTAATTAATAACTGTAAACAATTTTAACTGTGAGAAAAGAGAAATATCTGTAATATTCAGAAGTATTCTTACTAATTATACAGTAATAGAACAGAATAGATCAGTAATAAGTATAAAATCTCTAATATTTTAATAAACTTACTATAGTATGAATCTGAAGAGAAAAATAAGATTAAATTCAAACTTAAGTATATTTAAAAAAGAGATACTGTCTACACTGTTATACTCTGCTCTTAACATATTTAATCTCTATATATGAAATTCAGCAGATCATCTAGTTTAGTCTGAAGATACTGTATATAATAATAAAATCAGCTATTATTATATAAATTATAGTTTAAATTCAGCTGATTCTTATTATTAATAAAACAGCTTTAGTAAGATCTTCTTACAGTTAATTCTTTGATCTCTGTATTATTATTTTACTATGATATATTTTTAAGAAATGTTATATAAGATACAATCACTCTTATCTTTTCTTCACTGATATTCATCATAATCTTCTCATAATTTAATGTAGATAAGTCATGTAATAATACAGTAATAATGTCAGAGAAATTGATATTATAAGAATCAAAGATTAGAATAAAATATTTTACTTTAAACACTCAACAGCACTTAGTGCAGAAATCATATAAAAACTCATTAAGCTTCAGTATATATTTCAATATAAATCAAATTCATCAATGAATAATTAATATGATAGAGAAATAACTTATATATCAGAGTAAAATATACTTTTCAAAATATCTTATTTATATACAGCAATTTTCAACTCAGTCTGAATTAGTGAAGATTTATAATATAATTATATCTCAACAGCTTCAGTCTTGATTCTTATAATCTAATAAAGAAAATACTGATCTTTACTCTTATATTTCACTGATAGATTAGAATCTGATTCAAATATTATATTCATATAAATATCAAGTTGATTCAGAATCTGAGTAATTGAGATATATTTCATCTCATCTTTCATTATAATTAATTCAAATAAGATAAATAATGAATTTAAGAATGATAATCTTTGTACTATCTGAGAAGTATAGTGAATAACTTCTTAAACTTTTAGAACTATTATATAAGACCTTATTTTCTTATCTGAATATCAGTGATTATATCTGATAAAATACACTCTCTTAATATAAGATATATCATTCAATCTCAATTTGCAGTAGCATTCAAGATTCCCACACTGATACTGAATAAAATCAGAAGAAAAAAGAGATTTATTTATTGATAAATATCATGTAAAGTTATCAGAATAATATTTAATAGAGCTTCTTCAACTGTGAGATTATTATAACTCAGTGAGATTGTTGATAAGTTTCATCATTTCTATATACATCTATCACTGAAAATTTGAGGATTTAAGAAGAGTAGATATTAATGAAATTGAATTTTAAAAGTAGAGTAATCTTATGAAGAATATAGTGAGATTTTTCTGAGTAGAACTCAGAGTTAGTATTTACATTGATAATACTATTGAAATTAATATTTTCTTAACTGATAAAATCAGAAATTATGCTCTGTATTACTTTTTCAGAGTTGATAGATCTTCAGAGAGCAGACTTATCAGTAATATATTCTTCAATAAATGCAGAATTTACAGCAGTGATTGATAGTTTTTTCAGAAAATATCTGACTCTTCAGCTCAGAGTCTCATTGTTAAAATAAATGAATTCATTTCAAAGTTACTGCATTTATAAGCTATATCAATTACTGAATCAGAATCAATAAATTTATCAGTAGAATGAGAAGTAGTAGTAATATCTTTGATAGTAGTATCTTTTATAGTAATATCTTTGATAACTGACTTATCAGAATCTTCTTGATCATCATTTTCTAAGATATTTTTCAGAATATTCTTCAGAATATTCCTCTCAGTGTCTGCTTTTAAAAGTCACTCTATATACTCAATATTATCAGCAGTATTCTCATTATATGACTCTGTCTTTAGACAATGTTAGTTTTTATAATAATAAGACATTAAAAGTGATAAATGTACTGAGAATAGTAATACTTCTTCATTAGAAACATCATTATCTGAATCACTGTCAGTGAAATCCTCATTTGCAGTTTCTGAGAAAAGAAGACTTTGAGATTGAAATTCTAATTAATCATCTCTGAATTCTTATCTAGAGACAGATAACAGATAGCATTTTGAATTTTAATTAAACAGATATAATATTTTACTTTCTGATATAATTTGTAGAAACAAGTTATGTAGTTAAAAAGATATGATTGAAGTGAGTAAGCAGTCTTGATAAAATAAAGAGATAAGATTGAATTACTGAAAAGAAGTATATTAATAAGAGCTGTAATTAGTGATAATCTACATTAAATTAATATTAATAATCAAACTATTTTCTTTATTTCAAGATTATATTTCTGCAAGCTTCTGAAATCAGTATCATTCATTGACTAGAATTTCAATTTAATTTCAAAAATAAATACTCATATTAACTCTGATATGCTAGATCTTTCTGAACTTTCTTATCTAGTAGATTTAATGAGACAATTCACTGATTTTAAAGGAAATTCAATATTAACATTTCTTAATCATAACAGGCATATAATAGCATCAATGAAGAATGCTCAACAGATGAGAAGAACAGTGAGAAGAACTCAAACTCCTCATTAATAAACAATTCAT